TCCCCCTGGGCTAGGGAAGTTGTCCCTGCCCATGGCAGGGGGGTTGGAACTGGATGGTCTTTCAGGTTCCTTCCAACCCAAACCGTTCTGTGATCCTCATCCAATCTCCTGGGCTTTCCTTAGGTTGGTGACCACGTGTTGGTTCTGGGTGTGCCCTGTCGTACCCTTTACGAGCTGGCAGTGATTTTTCACCCCATCCTGTTCTGTGTGAGTTACTAGGTTTCACTCTCTGGCTGTTGTCTCTCAACCCTGTTGTCCCAACCAGCTGCTGGTGGATGTGAGCCAAGAGCTCAGGGACCTGCTGACCATGGTCCATCACCACCCACTGTTTTGCCATCCCTTCTGCTGCTTCCACAGCCAAACCTTCCTGCTCCTCCCCCATCTAGGCCAGCCTCGAGGTTTCTACTGCAGGTACCTCTACAGGGACATCGCGGGAGTCCTCTGAGCCAACCCACAGCTGCCAACAAGGCCATCTGTCCCATCCCAAGCTGCTTCTGTGTCGCCGACTCATCCGACGGGGATCTGTGGTGGTGGCTAATGCAGATCGATGGTTGGTTGATGCCCACAGATGCTGGAGAGGAGGTAGAAAACCTGTGCCTGCTGCTCCGGGACCAGAACAGGGTGTCCCTGAAGGGCCCAGCCCTGCTCACGGGCGTTTGCATCTTGCCTGGTTCCTGGACAGATAACGTCACCGCCTCGCTGTCTGCGGCCAGCGTTGCTTACTCCTCCTGTGCTCTCCCACGGGGTGCTCCTCATCCGAGACACCACACCTAGGTTTTTGGGTGCATGATGGAGCTTTTCCCAGTTCTCTGCCCGCCCCGGCACACTGCCCTCTGCGTTGGACGACCTGTTAGCTGCGAGGGACGCAGCCTTGTGATCAAGTTAAGATGTCTTAAGCCCTGCGGGCACCTAATCCGCACCACTGGCCCCGCGGCCCGTAAGCAGCTTTGGGGCCGCTGCGTACGTGCTCCCATCCCAGCTCGCTCCCCTTCCCCGGGGTACTGATCCACGGGGTGTTAAAAACCGGAGCGCAGCTGGGAAATTCCTGCCTGGCTTCAAGGAAGAGGTGGGCGGTGGAGACTGGGTGGTGGTGAGGATTGAAAAAACCCCTCCTAAATGCCAAAAAAAAAAAGAGCTCGACTCTCGAAGAGGCGCTGGCTCCTCTGCGTCGGCGCGGTGCTCTGGTTGGGGGGATTTGCCGCACCAAGCGTGATCCTGAATGAGAGCAAAAGCTCTTCTTTGCGTGTTTTGGGGTGAAAAGGGGGAAATGCGCGAGGTGCTGCGTGCGAGAAGTGAAACCTGCGTTTGGGAAGTAGAAATACCCTGTCGTCGTCAGCGCTGCAGTAATTAACAACGCGCCGCCCTTGCAAGCGCGTCCCTGGGATGTGGTGGAAAAGCACCTGCCCCGTGGGGGTGGGTACCAAGGGGGGCACCCATGGGTGCTCAGCCCTGCTG